CAGAGGTCAGAGAGGATGCTTAGGCATAGGGGATGCCTTACAAGAAAGCAAAGTGCTCTGAAAACTTAAAAGGGGAAGAAGAGGGTTTCTGATGAGATTTATCTCCAGCCATTATTAATCTGCACATGGAAGAAAGTGAGAAGAGTTTTTCCAGCCTCCTTCAAGCTCGGCTGATTCCTGCCGCCTGGCAGCGGCCAGGAGGCATGCAAATCGTTTCTGCTTTTCAGAGCTCTTCCCTATTTCAGAAACACTGTCGCTTGTGTAGACTACCTAAATTTTTCAGAAACTACCTTGAATTGGTGTTCGGGCAGACTGCTCCGGGGCCAGCCCAAGCAAAGCTGTGTACACAGTGCTGGAGGGTGGCGGGCGCTCTGGGTAAGTGATCTTGATAGGTACATTCTGATTGATGGGGGAGTTTGTCTCCCAAACTGTCACAGGGTTTATAGAGGTGCCACTCAATACCAGTGCTGGAATTGCTTGTCAGAGCACCTGGCTACAAGAGCAATGGGGATTGGAGACAGAGCTGTAACTTTGTTTTTTCTCTGCTTAATGGCCCCGGCGTCTGACCTGCCTGCTCGCTCCTGTTTGTCTGGACCTTAAGGAGGCAGCTGGGATTAAGACTGTCAGAGGATTGTGCTGCTTTAGCATCAGGAGGCTAATTGTATCGGGGCTGGCAGCATATGACAAGCGGTTGCCTCCTACCAAACGCACGGCAAGAGCAAAAAATTCTTCAACAAGGAAAAGGTATAGGAGAGTCTACATTTTGGGTTGTTCTTTCTTCATCTGGAAGCTGCATTTTCAAATTCACGTGTGGAATTGCGTTCTTCAGGCCTTAGGTGACTCGCCTTGTAAGAGTCGCAGCTGCTTCTGTGTATTGCAGATTGTGTCTCCTGTGAATTCCTAGGTCAAACTCACAACTGAACATTCAGCTGTTGGATTTCACTTTATTAACACATTGGGATAAAGTTCTGGTCCCAAGCATTGACCTCTGGATAGCGGCACTGGCTTTGAAGGTCCACTCGAGGCAGCATTGCTGATGACTTGAATTACTGCGCGACCTTCAGAAGCCGAGCCTTGCTGGAGGAACCCTTCCCCGTTCCCAGTGCATGCTATTGAATTGCATATCACCCCAGTGTAGTGGTAGGGGCTCTTTTGGAAGCTCCCGTTCTCCTCTAGCAGGTCCCAAACAATGCCGCAGCAAAGGCCATTTTACTCTGCTCGACACCCTCTGCGCTCCATTTCACATTTTCTTTGCTCTTGGATGGCAGCGTATGCCGCCGGCAGGAGCTGGAAGTTGTGAGCCTTCTTTACACTTGGGCTGAGTTAGTGAGAAGCAGGTGTGATCCTATCGGGCCTTCCTTGCATTTAGTGGTCCTCTTAATCCATTTATAACAGCACTTGTCCAGAAATCTGGTTTGAATGAGCCTGAGATGAATGAATAATGTCAAGCAGTTCAGACGTCAAATATTTGAACAGCTGCGTGGGTGTTTTCACTGGCTTTGTGCATGGAAGCAACCCCAGGAAGTTAGACAAGGAGGGTCAGGTTGAAATTGTGGCACCAAACCCCAGCCTGCCAGAACTGGCCTCAAAATCCATCCCTGCTGCAGATGAAAGGGCTTTAGGATGTCGGTGGCAGCCCGTTTGGTCTCTAGGTGATGCTGGACCAAGCTTTGCATCCTGTTCTTTGGTGTTCTCTTGCCTGAAGTGGCAGTACTGGGATTCATGGACCTTTTGATTCACATCACAAACATATTTTGTGGATTTTGTTTTCCTTTTTTTTTTTTTTTTTTTTTTTTTTTTTTTTTTTTTTTTTTTTTTTTTAAAGCAGCCCTTGAAGTTCTAAAACTGATAGCAGAGCTTAATTCAGAGTATTTCTGGGTACACAGAGGTTGTTTTGTTTAGCATACAGTTTGTGAATCAGTTTTTTTTTTTACCATGTTGTAATGGATTATGCTTGGTCATGTTAAAAAAAAAAAAAAAATCCATATTTGGTGAAAATCTGAGAGCTGAATCACCTTATTGCAGCTTCCTTTAGGCCCTGGCCTGAGAGTCCTTGTTTAATCAGAAAAGAAAAATTGCCCTTCTCCTGCCCCTCATCTTAACCTATGAACTTCTCTGCTGTGCCCTCCTCTCTGACTGCAGTGCTGTATCAGATCATCCCGGTGTGTATCTGTCACCATAACACGTAGTATCCAAACCCTTCCTCTGTATCCTCCATGTGTAGGAGGGGATAGTACTCTGCTGGCAGTGCAGTGGTTCCTATTATAGAGCTAGCTTCAGCAAAAGGTCCCTGGAGTATTTTCCTTACAGACTTAAAAGGGATTTTCTTAAGTACAAAGGTTTTGAGAGCAAGGACACCAGGATTCTGAAGTCAAGGTGCCTTAATATTTGTAAATTGTATCGCAGTAAGCAGGTCTTCTTTTCTTAAGCTCTGACCATAAACCACCAGTTGGCTTGAGTCTCTTGGAAACAAAATTGATGGAAAGGTGGATATTTGCTGTGTGCTTGGCATCCTTGCAGAGAGAGGGACACGGGAGTCCCGCTTGCCTTCACTCTTTTTGGACACCTTTCCCCACCACTCCCCCCCCAGGCACTTGCTCCAAGTATTCATTGTCTGGCTAACGTTCAGGTCACCTCTGGGACTGGCCAAGTCACAGCTCCAGCTTTGCGTGATTTGTGTTTCCCACAGCTACAAGAAAAATGAAGACCTGTGTGTCCAAAGTTTATGGCCTTTGAGAAGTGATGGGCTAAAGTAATGCCAGGTGCAGGGGATGGTGTTACTGCAGGTTAAATGCCATGCCTGTAAATTACCCACCCCATCGTCCACTGTGACTTCTAAGGCAGCTTTAAAAGACTATCCAGCTTCTTTGACAGGTCTCTCTTACTCCCCTAAATCTTCTCCCAAACGTTGTGATGAACTGAGGAATTCAAGATTTACTAGATGAGCCATTGCAGCGAGAGGAGGCAGCTCGTGACACGTGTTGGCTGGCAGCGTGCAGCCGGTACGTGAAGCACTTCATAAGGGGTCTGATGGCAGAGGACTGCCCCAGTGACACCGCAGAGCTGACCCGACCTGCGCGCATGGATGGCTCCTGCAGTACCTGGCACAGATGGGGGATGCTGCGTTGTCGATGCTGGTTTTGTTACCTCTGCTGAAAATCAAGGCTGGCAATTACTTTGAAGTAAAAGGTAGTTTATGCTTCTAGAGAAAGGTTAGTCTTAAAATCATCGTCATGCTACGGTTATCAGTCGTTAAGGACCTTCTTTATATTCAGGGAATAGAAATATCAAATCCATATAAACAAATTTTATTGGGGGCTTAATGAATCAGCGAAAGCGTCCATTCCTAGAGAGCGACAGTAAAGAACCGTGTCTGCATGGTGTACTTGGAAATGAGACCTTCGCCTTGCCCTGCTCTCTGCACACATGCGAACTGCTGGAAATATGGCTCACTCTTCTGGGCTGGGAAAGCGCAAGTTTGCTGCTGATAGCGCAAGTTTGCGTAACTGCTGGTGTGAACCCAGAGGGATGAACAGACTCGGACATCTGTAGCACTAAAAGGGCTACGCTAACGCTTGGGCATGTCCTCATTCTTCAGACATGCACCTTATATTCAGTGCTTTTACATTAATTTTAACCTGTCTTCTGCACTTAGAACCACCTTCACAGTGTGGAAATGTACCGCTTCTGGGGCATTTGTGCAAAACCAAGGCTACCTCTGCCTTACTCTTTCAGCGTTTGGCAGTGGGATGTGCTGCCTAGCCTAGTCACAGACTTAGGTCACCAGCCATCTGGATGTGCCAGGTCCTTCAGGCCCTAGCAGGTACCCTCTGTCCATGATCCGGGTGTCTGGGTCTGCTGTCTGGACAGTGGGATGCTAAGTGAAAGAGGCTACTGGAGGCAGCCAGAGAGAGCCAGTTTCTATCTATGTAGCTTATGCCTCCAAACAGCTTAGATCTGCTGTGGAGTTGAACGCAAACGAGAATCTTGCACCACCCTAGGATTCAGGAGATCTTCGCTTAATTTCCAGTCTCGTGGGAGACAGCGTGTCCAGTGTTAGACCCCGTAAAGAGTAAGTGTATGTCTTCCTTAGTTTCCATTAATAAACCTTAGGCAGCAAATACCATGTGAAGTTTCATCTTCGTCGGTGCCTGCATACAGATTCAATTAAGAGAAGTCTGGTTGCAGTTAGCAATAACGCAGTCAACAAAATGCTTGAGAACCAAAATAAATGTATATATTGTTAGAAAGTGGCACTTGTTACTCGGTTCAGTCTCGGGTGTAAGTGTTTGCCCTCGCTTCCTGCTGGAATTGGGACTGGGCTCATGCCTGATCCACCCTTGTTGGAAGTGTGGCACTCTTGTTGGCTTGCACTGCAATTTGCTCACATAAGAAATGCTTGTAAGGGGTGGTTAAGGACTGTGGAGTCTGATCTTTTCCTAGAAGGAGGTTTGCTTTTCTTAAACATTTTATATTGTAAAAAAATCTAAGCCATGACTAAATGCATCAGGGGGAGAAAAAAAAAAAAAGTGTTTCTAATTGTATTTTAGTCTCTGCCTGCCCTCTGTACCTGAAGTAAGGACTCATTCAGAATGTCCCTGCGGCCTTCTCTTACCTGCTGGTAGTTTAGTTTTTGTGTTAACCACTTCTATGAAAAATAAGTCTTCTCTATTTTGCTTCAATTTTTTTCTGCCTTTGAGAGACACTTACAGTGCCTTCAACTTTCGAACAACTCATGTGGAGAGCAAAAGTTCAAGAATGTTTCATTTTCAGTCTTGAGGGGCATTTTAGAGCATAAAATCCAGCGTCTGTTTCTGGGAGTGTTTTCTGTGCAGTCTTCAGAAAATTGTCCATGTGCAGCCTTTAGAGACGACACCTTTTGTGAGGCTGTTAAGAGTGAAGCACAGCCTGCAGACTGGTGCTCTCCCACCGTCCTTAGGAGATCTGCTTCACTTTGTCTCCCATTCAAATACTCATCCGCATGTTTTATTTTCTTCCAGGTTCTGGGTTTATCATGTGCAGCGGTAAGGAGAATCCAGACAGCGACGCTGACCTGGACGTGGATGGGGACGACACACTTGAATACGGGAAACCACAGTATCGTTTTTGAAAGGCTCTTAATGAGAGGGAACCTGAAATTGCATCTTCAGCTAGCTTTCCCACAGCACTGCCCTAGGCAATGGTAGATCATCTGTGTCCAGCCCTACTGGAAATGGCACTGGCCTTCCCCAGTTCCCATGTTGTTTGAATTAGGAGGGATTCCCAGTTGCTGCCTTTGGGATCCTTCTGTTGATGCAGCACTGCTTCAGACACAGTTGGTGAAGTCTGTAGGAGACATTGCAGGAAATCAAAGTTAGTGTTTCCCTATCCTGTTTCATAAGCAATCTGTTGTCTCCATCCAGGTTTCTTCCATATGGATAGCTTTTCCGGCTTCATGGATAGGAATTGAGTTTATTTTCCACAAGACACCCCTTTGTTTTCTGGGGTTTTGTGCAGTAAACATTTCAAGCGCTATTCAGCTGCCACTCTGAGCGACTGAATTTTTTCCCTTTCGTTGGACAGTTCATGGGCATAACTATCATTAAGGGCAGTTTTTGGGAACTCCTCCATCTGGGAGCCAGGCATTTCAGACAGCTCTGGGAGAGCTGTGGGCAGACTTCTGCCCTGCAGCAGCTGTACAGCCAGCAAGGAGGAATCCCTGCAAGGGTATTAGGCAGACGTTGACTTAGTTGTGATGAGGAGGAACGTATAGCTATAGAATTAGATTTTATTGCAATCTGTACCAGCCTTTAAGATTGAAGTGCCAATCCTTAGCTGGTAAAAGATCTCCGTACCTCAAACGGAAATAGTGGAATTGTGTGAGTTAGGCTTGCAGAGGTTGAGGAATTGGTTTTCCCCTTCTTAGAGGCTGTGGCGCCATGTTGCTGTCAAAAGACTCTTCTGTTTCTTTCGACCTAAAACAAAACTTTAATCCAGGATTTGAAAGCAAGCCTCTTCATGGATACCAGCCCCTCTTCTTTTGAGGGATTCCTGGTTGGGTTGAATTTGTTCTGTGTCCCAGCTAGTGTCCCAACCATCTCAAAACCCTTCCCTCTGTCTGCAGCAAGGCTGTATGTTCCTTAACCCCTTGTGCTCAGGTACACGGAGGCAGACGTTATCCCTTGCACTGGAGAAGAGCCAGGCGAAGCCAAAGAGAGGGAGGCGCTCCGAGGTGCTGTTTTAAAGTAAGTACTGTGCCTTTCTAGTTTCTTTTCATTACTTTTGGGGAATCTCAATTTGTGGAAAATACCCGTTCACTTGAGGACAAAGGTCACAACGAGAGAGACTTACAAAGAAGCCTGGTGTGACGGTGGGTCTCCATCTCTACCCGTGCAGCCTCATAAAGCCTCCCTGCACGCTCTCCCTCCTTTAACCACCCCAGTGCCCCCTTCTCCCTGAACAGTGCTGGACAGAAGGTGAATTCTGGTGATGGGAAACTGTGCTGTACTAAGGCCTTATGCATCATCTTGCTTCACGATGAAATGTGGCTTCTTAGTAGCAGCATAACGTGATGCCATCCGAATCTTGTTCGGCATATTAGGTGTCTGGCACCCAGGGTATGATTTCGTTACATCCCATTATGTGTTGTGGCATACACAAACTAATCCTTCTGCCTTCAGTTCTGGGGTTGGGGAGGTCAGGGCAGGATGTGTGCTCTGCACACCTACATCCGTTGAGGATGCAGGCAGGCAGCATTCAGGGCACTTGGAGAAGCATTTCAGGCAAATAAAATGAGTTTTAACAGGGAGGTAGGATTGCTTTCTAAGCCCTCTGCCCTGCATAAAACAGGGCTTAAATTACCCCTCTGTCTCTTTCACTGAGTGATCCTGCAAGGTCAAGGTTGAAGTGATTGATAGAGCAGTGAAATGAAGTTTTCTTACTGCTTAGCCTGTCACAAACACTAGTTCAAAATTAGGTTCCACTCCATAGAAAAGTGGCATTTGCTACACTGGATCCAAACCATTCGTCCATTCAATACTTTGCTAACTGTGCTGGTCCGTAGGCGGGGTCTTGAAGATGCTGAAGCTCCTTCACAGCCAGGAAAGTGATACTGTAGCATGAGGATATTGAGGTATCCCTTATCAGTGGCTGTGGACACTAACTGCTTGGTGAGGCGACTGAAGACCTAAGGCTGGGAGACCCAGTTCCTTCATGTGGCTTGCAGCTAACATGTTGGTTTGCTGTTTGGGCAAGGTCCTTGCATATCTCCTGAACTTGTTTTCCCATCTCTAAAAGAGGAGAGATGACGTTGCTTGTAAAAGCACTTTCAAATTCTGGCAAGTTTCTGTAGAAATGCAGTACAATAGCTGATGCCCTGAAGCATGAGCCTGCATTACCTTTTGAGTGCAACTGTCTTGGCTCATAGAGCTAAAATGTTATACAGTCACAGGTGTGCAGCCTGCTCAGAAGATTCCTTTCTCTTACAGTCTCTGTTACTGGCTTGCAAGAGAATGAACAGGGTTAGTTCTGTCTGTACATCAGTGCTGTTGTTCTTCGCATGGGAAGATGGCAAAGATGGGGCTTGTGAAGGTGTAAAGTTATTCTTAAAGGGAGAAGCTATTGCAACACAAAGGATTTCTCTTTGCGAGTAAGGTTTTCATCTTTGAAATTGTGTATTCAAAAATGAGCCTTGGGTCACAGGTGCTGTTTGAATCCCAAGCCTTCTGTCAGCATCACAACCCCCATGTGATTCAGCGGAGGTCGCAGCTAGAAGTGCAGGTTGGGAGAACACTAGTGGAAATGTGGACTAGCACAAAAACGCCTCCTGCAGCAGGCCAACGGCTCACATTTTGAAGCCTAATCTGATGGATAGAAGTATTGAGAGAGAAGTGGTGGGTGGAAGGGGTAGCTTTCCCTGAGCAGCAAAATTTTCTGTGTTCAACCTTTAGCATTCTACCCTTTTTTCTTTTAGTGGTGGCACACCCAGTACTCGAATAACACCGGAGTTTTCTAAATGGGCCAGCGATGGTGAGTGTTGAATTTGTAAATTATTAATTTGTATGCTACAGGAAGGCAGATAGATATTCCATATCTTCTGATTGCCAGTAATTAGGCAAATGGTAGTTACAAATGCTCTTGCACAGTACCTGCAGATATGTATGCACGTACAGTCACACTATCTTTTTGAAACTTTACAGCACAATTAACTGTAGTCAGTGGCAGCCGTGGGAGTTCCCAAAAATGGAACCTGACCTGGTATGGTGATAAGAGATAGAGGTTGGATTGACTTGCTGTCATGTCAGTAAAAGACAAAGTGCTGTATCAGAGAGGGAGCCATCAGAGCTTGACTATGGGATGGTGGTGTTCAGCTGCTGGGGGTTTAAACTGCGGAGGTACCTGTTGCTTGGGGTTTTTTCAGCTGCTTTCTTATAATCTTCCCTTCTTTAAAACAGTATGCTAGAGACTTGTATCATGATCTGTTGGGTAGATCTTGTCCTTACTGGCCTCTGTATGGCAAGAAAAGCCTGCAGCTCTGTAGCCTGCACCTTTAAAGTGGGAGCTCTGGCATCTGTCCTACTTCATGACCTGTAGTTGAGACTGCAGAGCAACTGAGTGAATGTGAAATTGTACCTTTGCATGCGTTATTTGAAAGCTCATCGCATTTAGGGGGAGAGGGGTGTTAAACCCATTCGACTGCTGGGTTTTTTAATGTAATGCCAGCAGCACTGGAAGTGTAAGCAGCAACCTAGTGGAAATATGAGAATAATAAAACCTGGCGCTTTCCAGCTGCAGATGCCAAATCCATTTCCAGAGCTGGGCAGTGCTCCTTCAGCTCCCTTAGGAAGGGAACTGAAGCTCAGCGACCTGAAGAGACTTGTCCCAATGATTTTGTTCCCTGTTCTGTTACTGTAATGCTTTAGGCATTTGATTCCCAGCCTTGAAAGTACCTACAAGATGTAACTGCTTGCCAGTGTGAGGGGGGGTGGGTAGAACCAGTTTTGCCAAGGGCATGATGATTAAACGGAGAACATAGGATATCTATCGCAGGCATTTTCTTCTGTGGGATAGGAAATCACATTTATTTTCTGTGATGTAGGAGCACTCGCTTGTAGGTGTGTTCAGCTTCAGTAACTACAGCCACAGAGGTGATGAGGAAGCAACCCCAATGGCACTTGCTATGAGCTGTTTTCTTCATACCTTTTACCTGAAGCCACGGTGCTGAACCTACAGCCCAGGGGATGGCCCTAGGACACTTCATCTGACTGGTTTCTCACATCCCCTCCATGCTGGGAGGAGCAATGGCACTGCTGGTAGAGGAGAGCTATGAGCAGACTGTTCTGTCGCACTAGTTACCTGGCATTTGTTTTTCTCCCTGTCTGTGTCTGAGGGTTCTGAGAAAAAGGGAGGAGCTGAGAGCAAGGTCTGGGCTGAGTGGATTTGCTCCAGATCCATCTTTCTAGGAGTATACTTTGGCATGATAGCTGCATCAAAACTTACTGAATTAAATCCCGGCTTGAACATCTGCAAGGGCTGGTCAGTATCTTCAGCCCTGAATCATGGAAGTGTGCTGTACAGAGAGAGAACCTCCCTGCCAGACAGGGGCACATAGCATTGGTCTCTCCTCTCTCTTTCCGAGAATTGACATGAAAATGACTCATCGGGGTCCTCTGCTTCTGAAACTGTAATCACTCAGGCTATTTTATTGCAATGATCAAATGTTCTTTTACTAATTTATCTGTTCTTCCCTCAACAGAAATGCCCTCAACGAGTAACGGTGAAAGCAGTAAACAGGAGACCATGCAGAAGACCTGTAAGAACAGTGACATTGAAAAGTGAGTGTAAAGTGGATAGCTTTCATTTTTCTTGTTTTAAGGAACCATAGCGTCCCATCTTGTGTTCCTAGAAGCAGTGCTAGTCTGGGGATTAGACATATTTGAAACTTTTACCACTTGGAAGGGAAGTTGTGCTCCAACATGAAGCCTGGATTTGGAGCCGTTGGTGTCCTGACTTGCTGCTGCTGTGTCCACAGAGGGCCTGTGGGGAGTCCCCCCCCCCAGATATCTGCGACAACGGGTACCCAGTGGCAAGGAATTGAGTGCAGCTTTCCAAGGGCCTCTCCACTGCAAATTGCCTTCTTTTAAAATATGTAAATAGATATATCCATTTTTTTTACCATGTTCTAGTTATGGTGGGTGTTCAAATGTGTTGTGTGGTCTATAACAGCCTAGACTAGACCTGGGACTTTGGACGGTAGGTGAAGATTCAAACCCACTTTAACCTAACAAAAGCAATTGGCTTGTCGAGCTGTACTTTGATGTTTGGGGTTTTTTTTATTCCTCCTGCAAGATTTCTGCTATCAGTGTATCACGGGATCCTGCTTTTACTCCAGGAGCTACCTTACTGTTGCATCTTGGGTTTTGAGGGCAGTCCTTCACGTGGTCTCTATTCTGTTTTCTCTGTGGTACCTGCATGTTTCACCCACCATCTCCAGCAAAAGCGAATCCCAGCAGTCCCATAACATGGCAGGGGCCTCACTGAGAGAATTTCTTTTCCCTTCAGATCCCGATTTCACCTGTTTATGGTTGCTACAGAAATAAGGTCTCAGTTCCTGAGGTTTTTTTACCTGCAGCCCTTCCAGTTGATTCAGAAGTTTAAGTCCCAGTGTTTGAATATACAATAGTGCAGGGGCTTCTGGCCATCTCCTTTCCTGTCCCTTTCTGCTCGCTGGGTGTCCTGCAGCCTAGTCCGGGATAGAAACAAATCTGCACTGTGCATTTGAGTAACAACTTGTCTCCTCAGCCTCCTTCCTCCTGCTCCTAGGGTGCTCAGGCAGATTTGACGATCCAAGCCTAAAACTCCAGGCTCTTCACTGCTGCCATGGACTGCACTAATTGGGGTGGGGCAGTGTTTTAAATTGATTATTGCCTGACATAAAACGTTGCCCCCTGATCAAGTGAGAGATGAAACAGCTTGAATGAGGTGGAAGCAATGAGGTAATTGTGTGTTTTAAACAGATGGCATTTACATTTTGGGGATGAGGTCCACTGATAATTTGGGATGGAGAAAAAACCTGGTGGTAACGTTAAGCTGACTTTACTACTTTTTTTAACGTAGGTTGTTCTCCTGCTGCCCCTGGTCCTGACTTGAGAGGTTGTATCGTTGGCACATTTCAGGATCCCTGACAGACCAGGCAGCCTGGCGAAGGATATGTTGACAGTTAGGGGTTAACTTGGGAAACTCCCTGCTGCAGAGGAAACTTTACCACTGTTTTGCTGTCTCGGCACTTTCCTTTTTACAAGGCTTTTTATTGGCATGTCCAAAACGTGGGCTGTCTGCTGTTTGATGTTTCTCGGTGAGCAGATTTTGGCCAAGGACCACTGAGTTTGGGAGCTCGCAGGTCAGCGCAGAAGCAGCTTTGTCCTTAGAGTGAGCCAGCCGTTGCGTGCTGTCTCGGTGGCAAGGATTCATCCCTTCTGGCCTCATCTGTCAGCCTCTGTCTCAGCCGCTGCTCGGCTTCCCTTTGGGCCTCCTGCCTGTCAGCCCCGCAGCCCTCCACCCTCCCAGATCCACTCCTATTGAAAATCTTTAAACTGCAGGAGCTGAAAGGATTTGACATTTTCCAGAACACTTGAGCTCAAGTGATAAAATTGACATAGCTTTAATAATCTGATCAAAGAGGCTTTAGCTAGCACCTTTTGAAGGATCCCAGAATCCTTTCCAAACAACGCTTGTGCTAATGCCGCTGTGAAGTGGGGGAGCGTGTGTGTGCGCGCGTGGGTATGCGTGCACACCTTGCTCCGCAATAACCTTGCCCCGCTAAAGCTTCAGTTCCGCAAAAGGTGCGAAAAGTCAGCAAAACCCAATAGAAATTATGGGAAAACCCTTAAGTGTCTTGCTGAGTCTTTCCAATAACGTTGACTTTTTTTTTTTTTGAAAGAAGCAGGGAGAGCTTTATTTAAGGCACTTCTATTTCACCAAGGTTCAGAAAGCAAGATGGTGTTTCAGGTGGAGAATTTCTAGCTGCTTTTTTTTTTTTTTCTCCTTCTTTCCTTTGAGATTCGTGTGTGATAAATAGTTTCTGTCCTGCCATTTAAGGAGTCTGAATGCTCTGTGTGCTTGTCTGTGTAGAGGGGTTCTGTTAAATTAATTGATAACAGGGATCAGAGCTAGAAGCCTACAGAAAAGGAGGGGGAAGGGTTTCACACTGTCTGTCTGCTTCTCACTCCACTGCTGAGCCATGATATATGGCGACCCAGCCCAACAGGCTAAATTGATTCATCTCTAGTTCCTGTTTCTTAATCTGGAGCTAAATTGGTTTCATTTTTCTTGTTTTGGGTGGCGCTTACAGGAAGTTTTTGGCAGCATCACTTTACTCCATTGTTTGTAACTTTAATTTTTGTCTTTAAATCTGAGCGTTATTGATTGACATGTTAAACCCTGTGTAGCATCTGATTAGCATTTTTAAAAGTGTCCAGAAGCACATGGTTTACCACCTGTGTCAGCTGTGCTCTCCGTTTAGAGCAGTGGCTAATAGAGTTAGCAGCGATCCGCGTATTGATCCTTCTCTCATAAGAATGACGTTCCTTCCCCTCCTCTCTTCCAAAAATAAGTCTAGGCAAAGAGAGCGGTGTAGTTTTGTTTGGTTGGGTTTTAATCTGTTAATACAGTATAGCAAGCAGTCCTCCTTTTGGCATGCAGCTGAAGCTCTTTGCTTAAGCAAGTTAATTTAATCTAAACTTAGGTTTTCGTGGAAGTGTCTCTTGCATGTAGAACGACTAGATGGGGTCTGGGGTAAGTCCATGTTTGTTGCCCTGCTCCTTCTGCCACGTTACGTCATCGATAGTTTGGCCAGGCTGACCTCATCTGCTTTGTGTTGAACTTCAGATGGCAGCCATGGGTAATGAGAGACATGGTGCTGGTCCCAGCTCTCCTTCGCAGCCATGCTAGGTCCTCGGTAGCTCGGGCAGGTTTATCACCATTGACCTCATCTGTGTGGCACTGAACTTCAGATGGCAGCCACAGGTAATGAGACTGGTCCCACCTCTCTTCAGCACTGCAGTGTGTCTCAGCCCTGCTGGGCTTTTCTCATCTCACCAACGTGAGGTGTCTGGGAGACATCCTGAGATGCTGAAGGTTCACAGGGAGAGGTAACAGAGCGTCGCATCAGCTGAGCTCTGCCCGTCTGCTGAAGACCCTCTCCACCGCAAAGGCAGAACTCAGCTGGTGCGATGCTCCTTTACCTTGACACAAGATGCAGCTGGTCCCTAATTGCCCAGGCATCCTCCCCGACTCCTCCACCAACGGCGTGCTCTCAGCCAAAGCACCGGTGTGCACAGAGAGCTACAAAAAGCACCTTCCCTGCAAAAAGTCTTCCTTCCCCCTCCTTCCCGAAATGCCGCCTGCGAGGGTCTGGTGCCATTTTGAAACCGAGGTTCCCCGGGGTTAAAAGCCAGCATCTTAATTCAGAGTGCCAATGTTCAATTTTGCTTTCTGCCACCAGACTAGATTGCAGGCCAGCGAGAGAGTCTGGGTTAGTGGCCCACTGGGTCACCTCCCATTTGTTTTCCTCAATTTTGTGTTGTCATAAATTCATTCCAGCCCGTTGTGGTTGATCAGTTTATCTCCGCCGGGGCAGGGAGCGCTGCGAGCATGATATATGGCACAGAGCATTGTAGCCAGCCTCTCCATGAATCACTCCAGCTGTTTGGTGTCAGCCCCAAAGCAAACAGGACCCGGCCGCTGAGCGTTGACTACGATGAGCTCAGTATGGGAAGAGACATGACGTATGAATGTTTATTTAATAATTCTCTAATATTTCCAGCGGAGTGTGGCTGTGCCTTCTGGGGGAGGGGTAAAAGGGGGGTGAGGTTGAAGAGGGAAACTCTAATCTGTTGGGGTGGGTCATAAATCAGGTAGACAACATCATTAATCAGGGATGGGACAGAAGTGGAAGGAGGTGGGACTGGAGCTGCCATCCTTGGTGGGAAGGGGGCTGTGTTCTCTCCTTTTTTTTTTTTTTTTTTTCTTTTTTTTTTTTTTTTTGTAAAACAAATCTTGTTTCTGATTCTGCTTGGCCCCAGCCGTGCTGCCCGCCTAATAGCACACCCGGACTGCAAGGCTGTTTAAGTGAGTATGATACCTCTGCTATAAACCTTGCGATACGAGCCTGCCAAGCATTAAATCCCTTTATAATTATCTTCTTTATATAACACTTCATGCTCATCATGCTTCATTGGATGAGACGCTCGTTGGGTTAAAAAGAGGGTTTTAGAGACAAAAAGCAATTGTATTTGTTTTATTTTTCTCATCTCCTCTTTCCTCCCCTTCCCTCCCACCTCACCTCTTTCCAATCCAGCTGTGCCGAAAGCGTCGGCTCCAGAGGGGCTCTGGCGCGGCAGCACAGGGAGGAGCATCAGTTAAAATTAAAAAAAGTTTAGGTCAGGGTCCTCGTGCAAAGCATCGAGTATGTGAGAGCAGTTGGGGAGGCAGCAGCGTGTGTCCCGGGGACCCTGCCAGCAGATGGGCAGAGACGGGAGCAGAGCGAGTGTGAAGCCAGAGGATTAGCAGAGGCCTGAAAGGGAAGGAGCCACGCTTAAGCCGGTGCGTCAGAGGGCAACAGAAGCTGTTGTGAATTCACACTGGAGGATAAGCGCTCCCCAGCCCTTCTCCATAGTGTCGCACCGTTAATAGGCTTTGGTGGGAGATAGGAACGTTGTATAGCGAAGGTAGAATTAAAAAAATTAACTTGAGTCATGAATGAGCTAAACCTTTGTGCTCTGCTAAGAGAGAGCACGATGCTGCTGATGGGTCCAGTCCAAGATCATCCCGTGTA